CTAATCGATACAACGATTTATTAGATCGTGTCCTGAGGCATCGCGATGCAATCATATCACACCTCAACTGGGTATGTATATTTCTAGGCTTCCACAGTTTTGGTTTGTATATTCATAATGATACCATGAGTGCTTTAGGGCGTCCACAAGATATGTTTTCAGATACTGCTATACAATTACAAACAGTCTTTTCTTAATGGATACAAAATACCCATGATTTAGCACCTGGTGTAACAGCCCCTGGTGAAACAACAAGCACCAGTTTGACTTGGGGGGGGGGCGGTGAGTTAGTAGCAGTGGGTGGCAAAGTAGCTTTGCTACTTATTCCGTTAGGAACGGCCAATTTTTTGGTACATCATATTCATGCATTTACAATTCATGTGACGGTATTGATACTGTTGAAAGGTGTTTTATTTGCTCGTAGCTCGCGTTTAATACCAAATAAAGCAAATCTTGGTTTTTGTTTCCCTTGTGATGGGCCTGGAAGAGGAGGAACATGTCAAGTATCAGCTTGGGATCATGTCTTCTTAGGACTATTCTGGATGTACAATTATATTATGGTAGTAATATTCCATTTCAGTTGGAAAATGCAGTCAGATGTTTGGGGTAGCATAAGCGATCAAGGGGTGGTAACTCATATTACTGGAGGAAACTTTGCACAGAGTTCCATTACTATTAATGGGTGGCTCCGCGATTTCTTACGGGCACAAGCATCTCATGTAATTCAATCTTATGGTTCTTCGTTATCTGCATATGGTTTTTTTTCCTAGGTGTTCATTTTGTATGGGCTTTCAGTTTAATGTTTCTATTCAGCGGGAGTGATTATTGGAAAGAACTTATTGAATCCATTGTTTGGGCTCAAAATAAATTAAAGTTGCTCCTGCTACTCAGCCTAGAACCTTGAGCATTGTATAAGGAAGTGCTGTAGGAGTAACCCATTACCTTCTGGGTGGAATTGCCACAACATGGGCGTTCTTCTTAGCAAGAATTATTGCAGTAGGATAATGGCTAGGAGGATTTGAAAGGCATTATGGCATTAAGATTTCCAAGGTTTAGCCAAGGCTTAGCTCAGGACCCCACTACTCGTCGTATTTGGTTTGGTATTGCTACCGNTTTCATGTAGCTTGGCAAGGAAATTTTGAGACATGGATACAAGACCCTTTACATGTAAGACCGATTGCTCATGCTATTTGGGATCCTCATTTTGGTCAACCGGCTGTGGAAGCATTTACTCGAGGAGGTGCTCTTGGCCCGGTGAATATAGCTTATTCTGGTGTTTATCAGTGGTGGTATACAATTGGTTTACGTACTACTGAAGATCTTTATATTGGAGCTCTTTTTCTATTATTTCTTTCTGCCCTATCCTTAATAGGGGGTTGGTTACACCTACAACCAAAATGGAAACCAAGAGTTTCATGATTCAAAAATGCTGAATCTCGTCTGAATCATCATTTGTCAGGACTATTTGGGGTAAGCTCCTTGGCTTGGACAGGTCATTTAGTACATGTCGCTATTCCTGCATCCAGGGGGGAATATGTTCGATGGAATAATTTTTAAGTGTATTACCGCATCCCTAAGGGTTAGGCCCACTTTTTACGGGTCAGTGGAATCTGTATGCTCAAAACCCCAATTCAAGTAGTCATTTATTTGGTACCTCCCAAGGATCAGGAACTGCCATTCTAACCCTTCTTGGGGGATTCCACCCACAAACGCAAAGTTTATGGCTAACCGATATGGCACATCATCATCTAGCTATCACAATTCTTTTCCTCATTGCGGGTCATATGTATAGAACTAACTTTGGAATCGGACACAATATAAAAGATCTTTTAGAAGCACATATTCCTCCAGGGGGACGATTGGGGCGTGGGAATAAGGGTCTTTATGACACAATCAATAATTCGATTCATTTTCAATTAGGCCTTGCTCTAGCCTCCATAGGAGTTATTACTTCCTTGGTAGCTCAAAACATGTACTCTTTACCTGCTTATGCGTTCATAGCGCAAGATTTTATGACTCAAGCTGCGTTATATACCCATCACCAATACATTGCAGGATTCATCATGACAGGAGCTTTTGCTCATGGAGCTATATTTTTTTATTAGAGATTACAATCCGGAACAGAATGAGGATAACGTATTGGCAAGAATGTTAGACCATAAAGAAGCTATCATATCCCATTTAAGTTGGGCCAGCCTCTTTATGGGGTTCAATACTTTGGGACTTTATGTTCATCATGACGTCATGCTTGCTTTTGGTACTCCCGAAAAACAAATCTTGATCGAACCCATATTTGCCCAATGGATACAATCCTCTCATGGGAAAACTTCATATGGATTTGATGTACTTTTATCTTCGACAAATGGCCCAGCATTTAATGCGGGTCGAAGCATATGGTTGCCCGGCTGGTTAAATGCTATTAATGGAAATAGTAATTCATTATTCTTAACAATAGGTCCTGGAGATTTCTTGGTTCATCATGCTATTGCTTTAGGTTTACATACAACTACATTGATCTTAGTAAAAGGTGCTTTAGATGCAAGTGGTTCCAAGTTAATGCCAGATAAAAAGGATTGCGGGTATAGTTTTCCTTGCGATGGTCCGGGACGAGGTGGTACTTGTGATATTTCGGCTTGGGACGCATTTTATTTGGCAGTTTTCTGGATGTTAAATACTATTGGATGGGTTACTTTTTATTGGCATTGGAAACACATCACATTATGGCAAGGTAACGTTTCACANGTGGTTCCAAGTTAATGCCAGATAAAAAGGATTGCGGGTATAGTTTTCCTTGCGATGGTCCGGGACGAGGTGGTACTTGTGATATTTCGGCTTGGGACGCATTTTATTTGGCAGTTTTCTGGATGTTAAATACTATTGGATGGGTTACTTTTTATTGGCATTGGAAACACATCACATTATGGCAAGGTAACGTTTCACAGTTTAATGAATCTTCACTTATTTGATGGGATGGTTAAGAGATTATCTATGGTTAAAATCTTCACAACTTATCAATGGATATAACCCGTTTGGTATGAATAGTTTATAAGTCTGGGCATGGATGTTCTTATTTGGGCTTCTTGTTTGGGCTACTGGATTTATGTTCTTAATGAACGTACACCTTTGGCAAATTTGATTCGATGGAAAGATAAATTAGTAGCTCTTTCAATTGTGCAAGCAAGATTGGTTGGATTAGCTAACTTTTCTGTAGGTTATATTCACTTATGCGGCTTTCTTGATTTCCTCCACATCGGGCAAATTCGGTTAATTATTTATGTGTTCTACCCGCAATAATATATTTTTTATTAAAATAATAAAAATATAGGTATGCACTCTTATATTTATTTCTACATCTAGGATCCGATTTGTATCATTAGCATTGATAATAAGAGGAACTTAAGCATTATGGCAAAGAAAAATTTGATTTATAGGGAGAAGAAGAGGCAAAAATTGGAACAAAAATATCATTTGATTCGTCGATCCTCAAAAAAGGAAATAAGTGAGATTCCATCGCTAAGTGAGAAGTGGAAAATTCATGGAAAATTACAATCCCCACCGCGTAATAGTGCACCGACACGTCTTCATCGACGTTGCTTTTTGACCAGAAGACCGAGAGCTAACTATCGAGACTTTGGACGATCTGGACACATCCTTCAGGAAATGGTTCAGACATGTTTGTTGCCAGGGGCAACAAGATCAAGCTGGTAAAGATTTAAGTATCCTTTAATTTTTCTATTTTTTCTATGCTCGACAAGGCCCCTTTACCATTCTGTCTAAATAGGCTATTCTATTTGTACAGATATGGAATAGGGGCGCATTCAATTTGTCTTTGATTATTAGAGTTTAGTCCAAGTCCAAGTCTAATTTTAGGCTCATAACCTTGAGGTCACGGATTCAAATCCTGTCTCCGCAACATTTCTTTTTCAACAAATGTAAGTTTGATTCTATTAACTATAATTAATACTTATCTTTTGGGACGCGAGGCAAAAATTACTATATTTCCCGGTCAACTATACCGAATCTTTTATCTTTTTGAATGTATTTCTATTTCTATTTGGGCGGATAGCGGGAATCGAACCCGCGTCTTCTCCTTGGCAAAGAGAAATTTTACCATTCGACTATATCCGCATTTTTTTGCCCTCATGATAATAAATTTATGGATAATATTTGTTCAACGCTATACGAGATACACTCTTTGGTTTGGGGTCATATCATAAAACTCTACTACCAAAAACAAAAACTTCAATTAACAATTCTATTAATATATATATATATATATATATATATATATATATTAATTATATATTAAAAATAGATTAATTCTATATACTGAATTTCATATTCAATAATATATTATTCTCTATTTCCATAAAATATTATATTCTATATTGATATCAGATATCAATTTTTGATTCGTAATTTTTTTTATTTAATTAGTTATAACTATTTCATAGTTATATTTAGTATATTTTGATTTATTAACATTTGATTCATATTTCACTCAAGTTCCAGAAGTTCGACCCCCCCCCTTCGAAATTTTTTTGTTTTCTTTATTTGCATTTTATGGACTTATATTGAATTTGAATGTGTAATTCGTGGAATGGGAGGGGTCATCTCATTTTTTGATATGCAACAAATGAATTCAAGAGATAAGAGAATTAAGGATACCCACAAAGAATACTAATCCAATCCATAAAGATGTACCAGAAAATACAACATTTTTGTTACTCGACCACCCATCAGGAGACGCAAATACAACGGGTGCACTAATCAGTAAGATTAATGAAGTAATAATTAATGCAAAAACAGCCAATTGAAAAGCAATAGTCATGTTTTTAATCCTCCAAGCTATTAACAATATACACCATTTAATTCTCTTACCCACTAAAAAAAATTAATAAATAAAGGGATTTTATCATGAATCCGTTGATTCGAGATGCCTTATTTCCAACTTCTTTTTACCAGTTTTATTCTATTTGGACATGAAGTTAAAGATTCTTTTTGACTTCACAAATTGGTAGACTGGATCGTGTATCTCATTTATTTATATAGACCGATTGATAGACTTATAAAGAAAGTCACACCCTATATCTTTTTCTACATAGTGATTGTATTAACTCATCGAGCTATGTTTTATTTGGAAAAAAAAAAGATACAATAGAAATTATCTTTCGGAGAGATGGCCAAGTGGTTGATGGCTCCGGTCTTGAAAACCGATATAGTTCATAAAAAATAACTATCGAGGGTTCGAATCCCTCTCTCTTTTTTTGTTGGATGAATCGATATTTTTCTTTATTGGCTTTTTTACTTCTTAGCATCATAAAAAGGAGAATGGCACGGCTATATTATCCAGCCGAGCCAGAAAAAATTAGATTGAATGGAAAGAAAGATGACTTTTTAATATGACCCGATTTTTACTTTCCTATTTTAACTACTACTTTAGTTAAGAGGAGTCATAGAAAGAACAGGTTCAAAATCACGATCAATTCCTTTTTCAAATCTTGCTGCCGCTGCCCGAGCTCTTCCCGCGTGCCATAAATGACCCACGAATAGGAAGAACCCTAGAACAAAATGAGAGGTAGATAACCAACTTCTCAGAGAGACGTAATTGACTGCCTTGATCTCAGTAGCTACGCCGCCTACAGAATTTAACGAACCTAAAGGAGCATGAGTCATATATTCTGCAGAACATCGTTCTTGCCAAGGTTGTATGTCTTTTTTCAACCTACTTAAGTCCAAACCATTAAGACACCTTAAAGGTTTCAACCAGGGAGCACGCAGATCCCAAAAACGCAATGTTTTCCCTCCAAAAATAACTTCTCCAGTCGGGAACGCATTAAGTATTTACCTAAACCTGTAGGTCCTTGAGCAGATCCCACGTTAGCTCCAAGACGTTGGTCTCTATCTAGAAAAGTAAATGCTTGAGCTTGAGAAGCTTCTGGCCCTGTAGGTCCGTAAAACTCACTAGGGTAAGCGGTATTATTAAACCATACAAAACAACAAGCAATGAAACCACAAACAGATAAAGCAGCTAAATTATAAGACAAGTAAGCCTCCCCAGGCCATACAAGTGCGCGGCGAGCCCATGCAAAAGGTTTGGTTAAGATATGCCAGATTCCACCAAATATACAAATGGAACCTAACCATACATGCCCTCCAATTATATCTTCCAAATCGTCCACACTAACAATCCATCCTTCTCCCCCCAAAGGGAGTTTTAGTAAATAACCAAATATAACACTTGGCTAAGAGTCAAGTTTGTAATTTTTCTTACATCCCCCCTCCTGGAGCCCAGGTATCATATACGCCCCCAAAATAGAGAGCCTTGAATACTAGAAGAAAAGCACCTACACCTAACAAAATTAAGTGAATACCCAGAATGGTGGTCATTTTATTTCTATCTTTCCATACATAACCGAAAAATGGAAAAGATTCTTCAAGAGTTTCGGGTCCCAGAAGTGCATGATAAATACCG